TCTCGGACTCCAGATGCCAAAGCAATTGTCGCCAAGATAGGCCTTAATGGGGTGAAAGCTCCGCACGGTGAATTGCTTGCTGCTCCCGAGGCATATCATGCCTCAAGTAAAGAACGCACAAATGGAAAGGTGCTACAATGAGCGACGCAGAAGTTAAACATGTCATTTTTCCCCAGGACAAAGTGTTTTACTCAGAGACTATCGTGTGGGAAGCAGTCAGTGGGTGATAGAATCAATACGGAGAAGACCTGGTCAAGTACTCTATGAGATCAGAGTGGGTACTTTGCTTTGGACCAGGCGTATTAATCAGCTGCTACGAACTAGCATCCTGACAAGTCCTGACAATCGACAGTTTCGATATGCCATCGAATAGGCAGAACGCTTCGGATGCCTCTCGCACAGAAACTCCAGAATACTCGAAAATGCGATCACAGCACCGGACTGACCGAGTGCGATCCGTCATCAGAAATGCAATTAGATCCAAGGAGGTAGTCGCATGTTACTTTTCGCGGGAAACGTGTTAAAAGAGCCGACAACCCTTTGCTTGCAGCCCGGCACAGTTGACCCTGATGCAGCCCGATGCTTATTGTCCAACCGATGAGAGCATGGCTAATGATGACGTTTCACGTTAAAAGCTACCAATGAGAATGGTCTATCTTGTGGTTTGCCAGTGAGTGTTAGGACATTCGCTGAGTATCTATTTATGCGACCCTAGTATTTGATTGTACATACTGCTTACTGAGATCTTTATCTTCTAATCTGGAAGTCGGCTGATCAGCTTACGTAGTAACAGTAGGTTAACTGTGCGATCAGCGGAATACATTACAACCCCCAAAAAAGCCTTACGGCTTTATAGACAATGAACAATGACTTATCACGGGTAAAAAAGCATGTGCTTGACAAGTCACCTAAGATAATTAGAATGAAAACTATGTGGATCAGAGTGTAAGTGGTTCGTCAGTTTAAGCGTCTACCGACTTAGCTGCACCGCTGCACAACGATAGTTTGCATGGGAATTGAATGCATGCAACTAACTAATCTAGGAATCAGTTATAGTTCATGTAATCCATGAGAAAAATGCAGTAGTAAATGACAACAACGACTCGTGTGCCGCTTCTTCGGATCAATGTGATAAGTAAATCCAGTTTGGGTACACCCCAATGATATTCCACAGTAGCAGTTTAGGAAATAAAGTGCAGAATTGAAAATGAGCACGCCAATTGGAAGTGTTGGGTTGACGCACCAACATAAAAGGCTCTACAGCATAATGTAAATGCAGGAATGTGTAATCGAGTCCTCGTCTGTACATCATTCGTGTGGGGGAAGAAACAACCTAAGTTAAGAGGGCGTTCCAATGTTGCCACGCACGAAGTGAAAAGAAATTTCGGAAACATTTTAACAGGCAATACTGTGTGACCAGATCTAGCTGCTGACTTCTCATATTATCATGGTTCAGCTTCACAAGTTGACAACAAACATGGTTTTAACTTCTCAGGATCAAATATGTTATTACCAAATCGCCACGAAGGCGTCGATATTGCCCAGTGTAGGGAGCAAGAATTTTCAGCCTCAGTTGGTAAAGGAAACGAAGCAGACGCTTTATTTTCTTGGTCGCTGTTCATTGTGGTTTTACAAGTGGGGTGAGGTCGTACTTGTGTCAGGGATACCAAGACTGGACAGCGTATTCTGAATGTGGCCTAATTTAGGCGCTGAGCATCTGAAAGAAGATTGAAAAGTATCACTGGTCTTCGTCCCTAAGGAACTATTGTAGTAGTTTGCTCTTGTGTTGCTCTGTAAGAGACACTACCGGATTCAATAATGAAAGTAATTCCATCTAGTCAGAAAAGGTTTCGCCATCCATTCCAAGTGGGCACAGGTGGTCATTCTGAAGAATATGACCAGAGCTGCGTGGGGGCATTCACAATTGACAGCGTAATCTCCGTCACCAAATGATACGTCTTAGTCCTGATAAGTAAACGTTCGATAGAGTATGCACTATTGGGTCCTTAACGCAGAATAGGAAAGCACGTGTGAACGGAGCACGATGAAGCGAAAACTGGCAGGATAGTAGACTGCAACTCATGGCAACACAATGGCAATGGTTCTTGGGTTGAATTGTTCGCCGAGCTTCGCAATTTGTATGCAAACGTTTCATCACCATGCGAGGTGACTTCCTCAGTGCGCTGCAGGGTCAAACGTAATCCGCTGCTTTGGTCGTCGATTTGTGATTGATTAGCAAGTGACTTTTGAATTGGCCTTCTCAATCTGTGCCCCGTGACCATTCGTCTACCCAGCTTCTCTGGTAAATATGGGCGTTCCGTAGGATGGTTCTGTCACGGTTGTTGCGGCTGTGTTATTAACGGTTCTATTAACTGCTTCCGACGGTTTTTAAGTTGTTTTAATTCTCTCCGTCTTAGTGTTCCGTAAACCGCGTCAATCTCGACGTGCATATTTATCGAGTGCTTCGTAGAGTACCATGCCTCGAGGAACTCTTCCTTTTCGTGTCTCTCCTTGTGCTAGGATCTCTCTCTCTCTCTGTGTGTGTGTATGTGTGTGTGCATACGTGCCTGCGTGCCTGCGTGCTTAGTGTCCATCACTCTGAGTCCGTTAGGTTATGACCTTTAGTGAAAATGCGACAGCTGCATACCGAGCAATATCAAGCACAACAAACGTGTCATCAAGGTATCCACTATACGAGTGCATTTTTGTATGTCATCACTAGTATAGTGTTCTCTAAGTGGCCCAGGAAGATATTAGCCAGGACTGATCTATCCTGCCGATAGATTGTTCCATTGACTAGTAACTGAACGTCTTTTGCACGGATTAGTGATATGCGAATCCCGATGAGGTCTAAAAGTTTTTCTAATGAAACGTCGGAGAGCAATAAGTTGATGGGAGTACTCGAAATATATGAATTCAAAGTATCCGGTTGAAATGTTTGTCCTTCTTGCTCGGGAAATTTGTCAAGGGGAAATCCTGTATGGAATAGGGAATCGTCCAACCTCCTGGGAGGAACTGGAGAGCACGCATATCACAGAGGCCGGTAAAGAGTACTAAAAATCGTGTGATGTAGCTGTCCGTCAGACTTCCGTCAGGAATTATAGTGCGCTTCAACTGATTTACCTTCGCTGCAAGTCACTTGAACTGATATGTGAATGAGAACTACTACGGCATACTGAATTCCGATATACTCTATTCGTGTTAGGTCGAAATGAGTTTCTACATGTGAAGCTGAATGATGTGGAAACTAGCGCAATTATCGGAAATATCACAACGAGCAAATCAGAAGTGTTCAGGCAATGAAACGATTTGTGACTTCAAAATAATCAGAATAGGGGAGTTAACTGCAAGCCAAATAACCTAAATTCGAAAAACGTACGGCTTGAAGGCAATGACTCCGGAACACTTGCATCGGAGTTTATTTGAGGATATATCGAGTTGCGAAACCTGTCCGTTTCTTTGGCGTATAACGCAATACAAATGAAAGAGTCGAAGCCGAACAATGACAGTAAGTTGCACACCACAGATGTCAAAGGTTTCTGAGGAAGTGCTCACTTGGACAGCTGACACTGTGACCAGGCAGTAACTACAACACAAAGTCAAGTTCAAGATGTTCATCAAAGCGAACGTGATGACAACATACAGCATATTCACATGTTCCGTGGTTAACTCTGAAATGTGTAGAGTAATGGGTTCCGTTAATTTTGTCCTTGACAGTATTAAACGTTTTTGATTGCAGCAAGCCATGCGTTTTGCGCCATGACCGTTTCTGACCATGCTGACAGTTTCTATGGCTGTACTAGTTCCATATTATACTTCATCCAAGATGCGCATCTCAGTTATCGGTCCTGCAAATGTACGTGATGCAATAACACTCCACGCGTGTTGCAACATGACTCCAGGTATCCGGTTTCCCATACCACAGTTAATGCTGTCAGCACCATCGCTTGCGTAACTGAAACTGACACACATGAGAGACGGAGCAACTAGATTGACCACGGCTACTGTCGTTTAGCGCTCACGAAGTGCAGCTAAGTGAAAGTTCTCAAGTCTGACGCCATAACACTCATCCATAGTGCTTCATGTTGTGGATACTTTGCTTCCAGCGGACCACTGAAAATACTGCATATAACTCCAGATTAACAACTCGTACGATGACCTCCATCTAGCTATCATTTTAATAGTATCGAAAGCTCACTTTACTATTCGTATCGGAATTGCCTGTCAAACTACTCTTCCCGGATTTGTCAAAACCTTCGTTTGTAACCATCAGTCGCTATTCGGATCCAGTACCGATACCATAGGGAAGAAATCTTCATCGCACTTCGAAAGATGATATAGATGTTCAGCAGAAAGTTGTCCATATCATGCACTTTAGACAGAGTGTGGCCTCTAGCATGGCTGGTGTTCACAGCGATTGGCAATACATACAGTGTCATAGTAGTTTAAAAAGGCGCAGTTGTTCTTAGGTTGAACAACGCCAGCATGTGCATCCACGTCAACTAACGCTTTTGTCTCTCTTTTCTTGAATGGAGTAGACGGAAATTCGAACCTGCTAACCTGATGCATAAGAGACTTATCCGAGTAATAATCCTTAGCAACTGGTCTTTTATATTCTATATGATGCATGTTAAAACTTATGATGGTATGTTGGATAAAATGGTCAAGTCACTTCTCATTATATTCCATACCTCTCGTTTTTTATGCTTCCGTCTGCCATAGTCCCCTTTCACCAACTGGGAGCATGATACACGGCCAGTTAGTCGTTCGACTGTTGTCGTTCGCCGCGTGATACACGATGTTGTACACGCATTAGGCCAACAGTTCCATTGTCTGTCCTGCGAAAGACCTTGCAGTTCCACCATATGAACGTATGGTCCACCTCATTTTGCCAGCTCTGATTGTTTTATTACCTGCCCGTTACTGCTTTTTATTAAATGATATACCGGTAGTGACCACCCTGAATGCAGTCAGTCACGCACCCTGTTTGTATTTTAAAGCAGCCATCTACTTGCAAAACAATTCGGATCGTCTGATCACCACGCAGATCAGTTGAACCGTTCAGGATTATGCCAGACACCTCTATCACCGTCTGTATCACAGCCTCTACGGCATGCCATGCGTCAGCAAGGATCTCCACCTCGGAACGGCTGGAAACCAATCGATCGACATGTCAACCTATGGAATGGATTATCCCAGCCCAAGTATCCGTCAGCATCGACACAGCATCCCTCAAGCCAAGGTAAGACAAACGATGAGCACACTATCACTGTCATAAATGAATTAATTAGGACGCTGATTGCTCAAACAGTTCTGCGGAATTAACAATGAATTACTTAAGTGTGCTGCTCAAATTTTCGAGTGACTACCAGAAAATTTTTTTGGTTCAGTGATTCAAGACGCGTTGTAGTCTCACAACAAATGGGTGCTTCATCTAATCAGGATGTTGCTACGCTGCCTTAGTGGACGCATGGGCTACGAAGTGGCGACCACCGAATTTGGTACTAACAACCATGAGCTATTATCCAGTGCGGTAGACAAACGGGTTCTCGTGAATCAAAATGGCGAAGATTGGGAGGCTGTGACCTCTGCAAACGGTCACATGTAGTTGAGGACCATCGTTATAGCTAACTGACATCCAGTTTTGTAACCTTTTCTCATCGGCTGAGGTGGTCTGCTGGTTCAACAGTTCCTACGTGATAGGGTGACCTCTTTTCAAGTGTTTTTTTTCAGCTACTGGCGGGCCTGTAATTCCTGTAGTAGCAACTGAGTGCTTTTGAAGTATGTTGACAGAATAAAAGTCTAGTGCTTTTCCGGTTACGTGATGGCTGTCTAGTTAATTGTGGTTAAGTTTTCTAACATGACTCCGAAGTCCTCTTGCTACCCTTAGTGCCAATAGCACTCGGTTGACCAACGGCTAAACGGAGGAAGTCCAAGCTCTGGAGGCCAGCCCATAATCTGCAAGTTATCAACGTACATGTCAATGGAGGACGAGCGACACTCTAAGATTGCAAGTGGTTAGTCATGGTGATTCACTATCGTCACCCGTGGCTACATGGTTTAAGTCACCTCCCCGTAAAGAAATAGTCGGTACTTCGAACCACGTTGAATTCGAGCTAGATGCATACTGTTGTCAAGTCCCACTGCGCCAAGACGGTTGTCTAACTCCTCTACTTGCTTGATAGTTACCTAGCTAAGTTAATTGCAATGACTTTATACGAACCTGGAGTTTGTTCATTCCGATCATACTTTCAGGATCCATTTTAAATGACAGCTACGCTGGTGCTGAGTGGCGCAGCAACTGGGCTGACATACTATTCAGGCATGATACCTTTCTTGCGAATACGTGCATTATACTACGCTCATAAATGACCCTCATACTGGGGTGAGGCGCTGAAACGAGTAGAAAATGCTCGCTGGTTAATGTATGGATAAAGCACTGAAAAACAAGCGCCGAGTTTGATATGCCTCAACTGCGTTTGTGGCACTGTCGCAAAAGGCAGAAAAGCCCAAGCGATCTTTGTAGGTCCGACCTCTTAGCAGTCGTATTAAACAGCTTACTGAGCAGTAGCGAGGCCACCAAAACTGTCCGAAATATCCGTGGATTGCCTTGACAATTCGTTTTGAATTTCTGAGATGCACTATAGTCGTAACTTATACCCAAAACGTCCCTCTGTTTCAACCTGTGCGGATAGCCGAAACAATTCTATTTTTAGGGAATAAATCTTGCGACCCGGGGTCAGGAAATTGCACTGATGCCCGTTCAGTTAGTCGGAGGAACAGCGGTGACGGCTTTCGGATCGCAAACGATCCGCGGATGCATGTAGTTTTGAAATCACATAAAAAAGCGTTCCGTAGGAGAGCTCGAAATGGATTTTTCATATGAAAATGGGATTGTTGCATGTATGACGACAAAGATGGAAAGCTGCTCCGCCAAAAAAATGACGTTTTTAATTAGCGGACATAATTAATGAAAAATATGCAAATTGTTTCCCTCCTGCACCCGTATTGCTCGTACTCCCGTCCGTCCCATATTATCTCACGCGCTGGCCTCGAGTTGTGGAATGCTCAATAGTGCAGTAGCGTATGGTAAGACGAAAAGCTTAATTTGACAAGACGCACAGGATAGTAAACGCAAAACACACTTGAAATCAAAATGTTTCCGTGTGGAAGGTGAAATATCAGTATTCTAGACATTGCACTTTATCATTGTGTTGTGTAACGTTTGCCACACAGCTGAAAGCCTTTCGAATATCGCGGTGTTTGGTTCGATCATCACGTGTACTGGCAATGCATTTCCGTGTGCAGAGATTCTAAGAGAACAAAAACACTTTGTAAAATCCAAACGGAAGGGTTGTTACTAGTTTCAGGTCGTGGCATCGGTAGCGTTTGTAAGGGGCTAGAGTCAGCGGTCATTTACCTGGATGATCGCTTTCTGTTAGTACACGGTAGATGAGAATAAGATCACTGAGAAACTGCCGGTATTCTGAGGAGAACATATCGATTAAACGAAGGCGCACTTTATAGTTGTGATCGAATAGTCCATGTGTTGCCTTGATTTGCCCTGTTTTGCGGCTGCCCACTAGACAAATATCTCGTTGTAAATCTGGATACCAGGACTAAACCGCGTATTCTACATGGGACGAAAATATAAGTTAAACAGCAGTGATACTAGCTGTTGTTCAAAAGCACCAAGAGCTCGCCTCAAAAGCCTTTTGTTCAAGTTCACCATATTTGCTACCCTCGGACAGTAGATCAAGTTGCTCAGAATTTCTTGAACAATGATACCCAAGTCTCTTTCACTAGTCACATTTATGACGTGATCCCAAAACATGTTTTGTTAAAGCTGCTGCGCAGCGTCAGATGGCACTTTGCAGGATTCAGTGGGAGCTGGTTCATTTCTGCCCATTTGTAGATCCTGTCCAGATCGTTTTGGAGATAGGTACGATCGGATGTTGAGCAAATAACTCTCCAGACCTTAGCATCATCTGTAAATATTTGCCTCAAGGATGGAATATTTACTGGGTTATTGATATAGACTATAAACAGTAGCGGACCACGCACAGATCCTTGTGGTACGCCACTAGAAACGCGCAGGTTTTTGGAGTGGGCGTCGTCGATTCTGACATCGACCGTTCTGTTATATATGTAACCTTCCAAGTAGGTGAGCAGGGAACCGTTGATACCGTAGGCACCAAGCTTTCGGAGGAGAACTGAGCGATTGACTCTTTCGGACGCTTTGGAGTGGTTTAGGTAAATCACATATAGTAGGACTTGTCAGCCAACCTGGTCCATGAGTTCAGAGCAAGAAGCATAGTGATGAGATAAGATCATATGCATCTTAAACCATGGTGAAGGTTAGAAATGATTTGCGGATCTTCAAAATATTGTGTGAGTTCATCAGCGATTAACGATTCCATCGCTTTTGATAAAACAGGAAGAAGTGTAGTGGGGCGGTATTTGGCAGGGTCAGATCACTTACATTCTTGGTATATCGGAGTGATGATTCCGTTTTCCCAGTCAAATGGGAGTGTATTGGAATCAAGTAGACACTGGAAAAAGGTTGCAATATCTACTGCTATGGTGGTGGCAAGTATTTTACGAATCTGTGAGCAGATCTTGTCGATTACCGGGGCACTGTTTTCTCAAAGAGACCAATTTGCTTACGACAGCTACTGGGGCAAAGGTGACGCTGGACAAGCCGATGACATCTGCTGGGAGGTGATAGGGCGAACATTGCGACATGTTCAAAGCTAATGAGCAAAACTGCAGGAGCAGTGCATTTGCGGTATCCACAGCATTACTCGTTAGGCCACTGCCTATCTTGAATTGTGGTATTTCAGGCTTAAGTTTCATTTCATCGTTCGCATACCTGTAAAGCATTTTGGTGTCATACGTAGACTTGAGTACCATGGTCTCCTGCTATTCGTACTTATCGTCTCCAATAAACGACGTGCAGTAGTTTCTAATTGCTTTGTAATTCGCCCATATGACATATGGTCTCCGAGAAGCTCTCATGCATGTACCCAAATGCCCAAGGTCTACTCAGCAAATTAGCTGAATTAAGACTTCGACACGCGTTAGCAACTTGGGACCTCATCGCTATCACGGAAACGTGGTTGCGCTGTGAGATAATGGATGCCGAAATTGCGCTAACAGGTATGTCTGTTGTCCGCAATGATCGAGCCAGCAAAGATGGTGGAGTAGCCTTCTACTTTCGTAACAACCTGCAGTGCGAACCTATACACGATTCGGAAACCGATGTGCCTGACTCCATTTGGTGCAGTTCCCGGCTGAGATGGAACGATCTTGGCCTAGTGGTTGTTGGTTGCCGACCACCATCTTCTACACCTGAGATAGACTGCAACTTGGTGGCTGCATTGAGGCAGGTGATAAGCAGGAAGTACAGTCACCTTCTGGTCACCGGCGATTTCTACTGACGTGCTCTAGAATCCCAGGCCACACTAGGAGAGCAATGCAAAGTTGACCTGCAAGATCTTGTCTCAGATTTTTCGCTTTATGGCCACGTCACCTCGCCCACCAGATGCATGGGAAATAACAGGCCATCCATATTGGACCGAATATTCACTAATGAAGAACTGATGATCAGGAGAGGGATAATCGATACTCCTCTAGGTCGCAATGATCATGCGAGTTTGTATTTCATGTACAGTTGCTATGCTGAATATCCCAAGGACAGAATTCAAACAACGCGAACCGTAACCAGTTACGACACCTTAACCCGACTCGTTGAAGCAACCGACTGGAGTTTCCTAACCGAGAATGCACCCGATATTGCCTGAGAACCTTTCCGTCAGTAAGTTTAAAACCCTGGTTAGTGGAGCATCGGAAACCAAGACTATCAGTTAGAGAAACATGACGTCGTTTATACGCAGCAGGACACGCAAACGCATGGTGATGCTCAACGCGGCGTGATATGCCCACAAAACCTATCCGAGTCCGAGTACCTGGAAGGTATATGTTGTCCACCATAACCACTGTACCCAATTAGTGCGAGAGAACAAAGTAGCTTATCAACATGCATTAATCGAGCGGGCAAGTGCAAATCCCAAGCTTCTGTACGAGCACGTGAACGGCCTCCGCAAGGTGAAAAGTGGATTTCTTCCTCTTCGAACAGCGGATGGTTTAACTCAGACTGCTAAAGAAGTGTCAAATGTTCTTCAACAACAATATGCACCAACGTTTCATGGCATCCCGTTGTCTGCTGAATCTTTGGAATCT